GTTTAAACTTTGGTGGAATAATTTACAGCATGTTCAATTTCAATTGACGCTAGTCAAAACCGTCTCAAACTATCGCGTTTAAACCCGCCCACCGTCTGGTCCTTTCCCTGATGATATTAACGTGCCTTTTTTTAACTCGTCTCAAAATGTGATATGATGTAATAATACCAATCGTCATTTTAATTTACGTGTGTCTAAACCTTTTTTGGATAACCTTTTTTTTGGTCACACTCTTGGAATGATATATTATATGAGGCGCGGCTTTAAGATTGATTGCATTCATGCAGGAAGATTTCAGATTTTGTGACTCTTCTTCATCAAAGCGAACAAAGAAGTAGCTTCGAGATTTTCGCAATTGTTTTTATTTGAGAGGTTCGATCCTCTTTAAAAATACAGCTCGTAGGTAAAAGATTTGCTATATTGTGCAGTAATTGACAGTGTATTAGAGGAAATGGAACTGATGCACGTGAAAAATTATTATTATTAAGAGAATAAAAACGATCCTTACTTGTTCCGTTATTCTATCTTGTTAATTATTTCTCCACGTTTGTTAGTGAGTTTAAAGTGTGTTCCACACATCACCCCAGCTATTAGCCTTATATGTTATTGTACTACTTTGTTGCTTCACATGTCAAACAATGATATGTAATACTTTTTGGTTGAACACAAGATGGTTGACATACTAAATTTGATCTCTTACGGACTTCTCGTTCGTCTTGTCCAAAACAAATAATTTAAGTATTCTTAAGAATGTCTTCTCTTTACGGCCTCCCGCTTCCGGTGTTAACCGACTCTTACAAGACCACTCACCCATTTTTGTATCCTGAGGCAAAAAAGGTGAATTTTTTTTTGGTTTTCGCCAGTTCGTTTTATTATCACGGACCTGGAATTTTTTGCTGCGTACAAAGAGGTTGAACTCATGTCAAGAATGGATCGGTTTACCCACAATCGTTTATCATTCTGCAGTGCGTTGCGTACGGAGAATTCAGGTGTGGATTTAATGGGGACAAAGAAGACACGCGTCTCTTGTTTTATGGGTTCCGATACGTGTAGGTGTATGATTTCGTTTTGCTTATCTTTTTTGTTGAAATAACTCTACGGAATCGTGTAACCGAATCTTGCTGCAGAATTGAAAATTATGTGGCTAAAAAATGGACCCTAGAGGATGTCGAATTGGCCGGAAAATTCTTTGAAACTCACAATGCCGGCTATACCAATTTTCCGTTTCCCAAGGATCTATTTCTCAAAGTTCGCACTGTTCTGTTATTAGGAAATTTACATTTGTCGCGCTTGATAATCGATCGATTTTCTTAAAACATCATCGTTAGTTTATTGAAGAGAACGACGGTTACTTTCCAATAAAAATTGAGGCATTACCAGAAGGAACTTCTTGTCATGCGCACACCCCGGTTTATCAGATTACCGCCGAGGGCGAATACGCGTTATTGGTTACGTTTTTGGAAACTTTGATAACCTCTGTCTGGGTAACTAATCCTCCTTCTTGCTTGCTTGTTTGGTGACAAGTTTTCACGATTATTTGTTAAGTGACAATAAATTATTAACATTCACCCCTGCAGTATCCCTCCACAGTGGCAACACTTTCGCGTCGTGCACGTGACATTATCGAACAGGCCTATAAGGATACCGTAGATGAGGATGGCTATTGGTCCCTGGAATCGTAATTATCTTATTATCATTGGTGAATCTGTGATGTTTTATAGAACACGTGTTTGATTGATGTGTAAATTTACACGTTTTATAAGTCGACTGCATGACTTTGGATTTCGAGGGTGTACTTGCCTCGAACAATCCATCATTGGTGGTTCAGCGCATTTAGTATGTATCTTTCATTTACGCTTGCTTGACAATTTCTTCACGTCAAAAAGTTGCTGATCGACACTTCACACGTTTGACAGGTGAACTTCATTGGAACTGATACGATGAGTGCCGGGTATTATGTTCAATATAAACTTAACAACGGAAAACCAATAGCGTCTTCCATACCTGCCACCGAACATTCCGTGATGACGGCTCACAAGACCGAGAGGGTAATTCTATTCTCTGTTTACGATCGATCTTACGCATTGAAATGTTTGATAAAGTTTTTTTCGCCGTCCAATTCGTAGGATGCCATTTTACAGATGATCAATCGATTCGGAATCGGTGCATTTGCATGCGTGATGGACTCCTTTGATTATGCCAACGCATTGGAAAATGTTCTACCATCAATTGCTTTCCAAAAGGTGGATAAGGGAGGTTTCATGGTTCTCAGGCCGGACAGTGGCGATCAAGTAGAGGCTGTTTTGATGGCTCTGAGGTAAAGTTGCTCACACCCTTTCTTTCTCTTTAAAATCAAATAGCAACGATTTTTTTTTTTTTTTTATAATGATTTATACGTTTTGTGTATCAGAGCTTCAGATAAGGTTTTTGGGAGTGATGTGAATAAGAAGGGTTATAAGATTATTCGTGGGTGTGGTGTTATTCAAGGCGACGGTGTAACCATTCCGACTCTCAGAGCCATATTGGCAGCTGTCAAGGAGGCCGGTTATTCAGCACAGAATGTTGCATTTGGCATGGGTGGCGGATTATTGCAAAAAGTCAACCGTGATACCATGAGCTTTGCCACCAAACTCTGTCACATAACTTACGCTGATGGCGAGAAACGGTATGATGCGTGATCATTTAGTGCTTCGATTTGGGATGCTCGGAAAGTAACCTTATGAAATTCCATTATAGGGATATCATGAAAATCCCGACCACCGATTCCGGAAAGATAAGTTTGCCTGGAGAGTTCGTCGTTAAGAAAAATGCAGAAGGGGTCGGACGCGTTTTTAGATGTTACCGTTGATTTTTATTCTTTGTCTTGTTAATTGCTAAATGTTCCTTTACATCACATACTTAGGTTCCGATTGTGCATCCTAAAGAATGTTGCCCTGCGAACGATCCTGATAATCTTTTGCGTGTGGTTTACGATCACGGTAAAATATCTCAATGGGATGATTTTGACACAATTCGAAAGCGGGTTGCTAAAGAATGGCCTGCTTTACCTAAAGTTTACAATAATATCAGTCCAGAGCTTAAGGAAAAGGTTGACAGGGTCACTAAGGAGATTAGGAGTTCACAGTAACCTATTCACAAGAAGTTTTTTATCTTTACTATATGATCATTCTTATCGTACTCGATCTCATTTTTTGTAATTTTAAACCGTACAAGTTTCCCATTCGCAATAAATTATTTTTAAAAGACGATTGTTGTTTCTCGACCACGAACGGTGGGTAAGAGATGAAATTAAAATTTGCATTTATTGCTTTAATATTTTTAAACCAGATAATTTACCAAATAAATACTATATATGTCAACCTTTTTATACACGTGACTATTGTAAAAATAAATTAAATACGTGATTATGATTCATTATTGTTTAATTTAAAATAAAATAAAATTCTTATTTACCCATAAGATTATCAAGTATTATTGCATATTTTGAAATCAGAAAAAAAATAAATTCAAGATCAAATCTGATACAATATTATATAAGAGATCTTTACATCATAATTATTACTAAGCAAAAAAAAACAGGATTTTGAATGATAACAGAAAATTCTTTGTGAAAAATGTATTAATTTATTATAAGATTATTTGTAATATTGGTTTGAATATAAGCTTTTATCACAAGAAATTATAAATCTTATTGAAAAATAAGCATTTCAGAAAATATTTGATAAAATTGTAACTGTTTATATAATTTATTATATTGAATTACTTTCAATTTATAAAGCATATCTGTTACATTAATCAAATAAGTGATTTAATATTTGAATTTTATTAAAATAATTTATTGTATATTGTTAGCAAATTCATTTTTCACAAGTCAAATAAAACAAAATTTTATTTCCAATTGTACAAGATATTTAAGATATTTATTATATTTAAAATACTTGAAATTCATAAAATCAAATTTATTTTCTGTTTATTTATTTATATCACAATTAATTTTTTTTTTTTTAATCGCAAACAGGCATTAAATGCAAGACTTTTTATTAAACAAGAGTTTATAGCCATTACATTAAGAATCTTTTACATATTTTATAAAGTAATTCTAGCCTATCGCACTTTTTACCAGAATACCAACTTATACCCAGTCGGTGGGTCCATACCCTGGTTTATGCTTATAACTTCCTACTTGTAAATATAAGGTAAAAAAAATCCTGTATCAACAGTAAAAAACCTTCCTAACAGTTTCCTTTTTGGCTTGCGACCCGACTCTTCTTCAACAATTGGGTCACCAATCCGAATTGTACCAACATCAAGTAGGAAGGTAAAGGTCCAATCAAATTTCAGAGTCTGCTGATTCAGTTTTGGGGTACTAGCTGATTGAGTACAACCTATATCAGGAAACTAGCCAACCTGAATAAGAAGAATGGTGATATGTAGTCTGCCGTTCCAGTTAGGGTTATGGGCTTATACCAGAATTAGACCAGAAGTCTTGCCTCATGCAACCTTTTTTGTTTCGACCTTGTTTTAGCCCGCGATCATCAGAAAGACCAGAGATCCCATCTTCATGCAGCCTAGCTTGATTATATCACAATTAATTTTTTTATATCAATAGAAATATTAAATATATATATTAATTTTAATTATATGTAAAAGACCTGTGGGTCTGTAGTGTAGTGGTTAACACTCCACAGGTCAAATCACAAAATACCAGTTCAACCCCATGTAAAGGTGGTTGAATAGAATTAATATGGTATCTGGCGCCATAACCTATATAAGCGCTGTTTCTCATGAGAAGCCGTTTCACACGCTAATCCAGTGGGCATTGAGATTGTGATTTCCAGAAAAGGTGTCGTGGTGCAACAATCGTCCGGTTGGTGCTATGATGATTGCCAGAAGTTGCAAGGTGTACGAGGTGTCCGGTTTAGTACAAGATGGTTTGGTGATCGCTTCCTATAATACCTGGTGTCTTTTCTGCAAAAGATTACCTAAAAGTCCTATCCCAATCCAGTAAGAAGCCCACCCCTGTATTGCTTATTCCGAGAAGGCATCTAATATTCCCAAGTAGTCACAAGACTGCTGTAGGTTGTAAATCTATAGTTGTAAGTACCTTGAACGTCCCTGAGCCATAA